ACAGGAGGCAAGTCTTAATTTGGTTTATAGTTTTAGAGGCTTAGCTCACTGTTGACTGACCTCGAGGTGGAGACCTTGTAGAAGAAGGACTTGGTAGATAAAACTGCCCAGTTCATGGCAGCCAGAGGCAGAGCACAGAGGAAGGGCCCCAGAAGGGAAGACACAGGGACCAGATACCAGACAGAGTCCCAAGGTCTTGTTTCCAGGACCCACTTAGACCATGTAGAAGTGTGCTTTACTGATTTCTTAAGCTAATCCAGTTGATAATCAAATGTCATACTATCCCATTTTGAGTTTTTATATTTCTGTTTATGGGAGTGTTTTCATATTCATGTTTACTTTCTTTTCCTCTGTAGGCAATTACTAGCTCTGGTTGTTTGGACCACTTACTAAATACGATGTGAAATGACTTTTCCTGTAGGTATTCCCTCTACAAAATTAAAAGCATTAGTAGCGAGGAAACATGTCTATGCCTCATACTCTTACTGGCTTTTCCTAGTTTTTCTAACCATTGTGCTGCCTAAGCTTTTCAGTTTTGTAAGGGATTTGCCTTTATCTCAAATGCACAAGTAACTGAAGCTGACTTTTTAATAAATGGAATGATAGAGTAAGTGGTGGATAAAGAAGGTACATTTTTAGTCAAATCTGAATAGGAAATCCTTCACTGTATCACAGCAAAATTTAATAATAGTGCTCTTAAACACAAACACATATGTAAATGAGTCATCCTATAAAAACTTCCAACAAGTGCTGGCAAGTCAGATGGCAGACTTACCCTGAAACCTGCCTCTCCAATAAAAACCTCATAATTAAAAACAAGGCTGTCTATAAAGCATAATATATAATGACAATTATTTGAAACTGGTACAAGATTTGACTAGAAAGTAAAAAATAACCTTTCTCAGGCAAAAATTCTTTACCTTCCCCATGTGCAGTTAGCAGATTCTCAGCTATATTTGAGCTGTGAAAGGCTGCTTGCTCCAATAATTAATACTTACTGACTTTGGTCCAGCAGGAGGCTGAGGTAATGCAGGTTTTACTGATCTTGTGAGAACAACTTTAGTATTTGCTGTGCATTGAGAGACTGTCCACTGCATGCTAGATACTTTTTAGCCATTGAATGTGCTATAATAATTCATCCTTTTTTACACTCAGCAAGCAATCAACTATATCTTAGCTATATTAAACTGAATCTTAAAGTGGTTTAATATGTAGCAATAGTTATAGGAAGATCATTTTTAGTAGTTAATAGTAAGTGGCCATAGCAGGTACTTGAACATAATTTCTTTCATTCCCCAAATTATGCTCCATTTATCAATGGTACAGCCTTGGTAAAGGATGTGAAATTGATGAATATATGGAAGCCAGTGAATAAGATACAGTGTGGCAGTAAGCTAGATCTTGTTGAACATATAGAAAAATGGATAAGAGAAAGTTCTCTGTTGTTACCTGTTTTCAATTGGTTGTCACTTCATACGTGTTTCATATTTAAATTTCATTATTTTAGGTTACAAATTCACTCTTCCAGACTTGAATCACTCACACACACACACACACACACACACACACACACACGAAACAGTGTAATCTGGCATGTCCTGCCTTCAGAGGCCCAATGGCAGGGGATCAAAATTTGAAAACAGAAAGGAAATTGCACAAAGCACATTTCCAATGTGTTCTTCCCTGACTTTCCCTTTTAGGTGCCTACTTTAGTGAGACATCCTGTGAGAAATTGCAGCGAGGAGTAGCTGGAGTTAGGACTGCTGAAGGAATAAGAGACTTAGTGAATAAATTCAAATCCTAAAACAGTCTTTCTCCAATTCATTATTATTGTTGTTATTTGTGGTACTAGGGATTGAACCCAGAGCCTGTGACTACGCTTTTCCACGTAGTCATATCCCTGGCCTCCCTCTTTAACTCAGTAGTAAAGAGTGGAACCTATGTGTAGGCTGGGTGTCTCAACATAGCTGTAGCAAATAAGTTGATTGTGGCACACACTCATGTCTTAGGATTTCTGAGACTTCCTTTACAAAGGAGTCTGTGATGCATACTTCCACCTGGGGACCAACTCTCCGTAGAGGGCAGGGAGCCAATTGTGTAGCCTTTGTAGGCCATGTGTTCTTGTCAAAGTGGTTCAACTATGCTGCTGGAGCATCAAAACAGCCATAGACAATACAATTCATAAATGCGAATATCCATGTTACAATAATGCTTTATTTGCAGATCCACACAGTGGGACAGATTGGACATAATGCTAATAACCTGGTGATGAGGCTCTGGTGGAAACAGTTCATTTGGAGTTTGATCTTGGCTCTGCTATTTTAGCTGGCTATTGTTTTTTTTTTTTTTTCTTTTTGTAGTTCTGTAACTTTATTTCAAAGTTAGTTCTCATCCCACATTCACTGTCTGGAGATTTTTGAACATGGTAACAGGGACGTAGGTTACCAAGGCATACAGCTTGTTTGGTGAATCTTCATCCTCATTCTGTTTCCTGGACAACTGTACCTGGATATGATATGGAACATTCCTTATTCCTTTGGCCCAGATAGCTTTGTTGAGCCTGGTGTCAATGTGCACGTCTGGAGTCCCCATCTCCTTCATGGCAAACTTCCAGATCTTCTTAAGTGCCTGAGAGGCACACTTCTTGAAGCCCACTCCGTGGAGGCGCTTGTGAATGTTGTGTATTCTGGGGTCACCTCCTTGTGGATGGCAGAACTGCTTTTCTTCTTCTCGCCACCCTTCTTGGCGGGAGCCATCCTGCTGGGCACAAGTTGGAAAGCTCTAGCTGGGTATTCTTGGGAAAATATTTAATTTAGATTTGATGTAATTTCCTATCTTTGAAATGAAAATTATCAAACCTATTTCATGAGACTGATATGAAGATTAATCTATGTAGCAAAATATAGCAAGCTATCTGGCTCATATCAATATTTAGTAAACTATTATTATTATTATTGTACTATTATTTTAATTTATCTTAGTTTTTTTTTGCTTGCTTGTTGGTATTTAATGTATTCATAGTAAACTAATAAATGCTGTTGAGATTAATGCCACTTGTCATTGAAGCTGCCTCCGCTTTTCTTTCTCTTTCTTCTCTTCCTCCTGCCTCTTCTGTCTCTTCCCTCCTTTTTCTTCCTCTTTCCTCCTCTCTCTCTCTTCTTCCTTCACCTCCTCCTCCTTTTTTCTTTTTTCTACTTTCTATCCCTCCTTCTCCTCTTCTCCTTCCTCTGCCTGCTTTCTCTCCTTCTTCTTCCTCTTGTCACTCCTTCTTCGGCATAGTTGGGGCTGTACCCAGGAGCATTGTCAATAAGCCACTTCTCAAACTTATTTTTTTTTTTTTGTATATGTATATGTACACTTTCTCACTAAATTGCCCAAGCTGGCTTCAAATTTAGCAATCCTCCTGCCTCACCCTCCAGAGTAGCTGGGGTTACAGGTGTGCACCACCAGGACTGGCTTGAAATATTTTCAACTGAAACTAGAAACTGCTTTAGAGGTTTCTGGTGCTCAATTCATACTAATGAGTGAATATTACTTTCTTGTAGTTCAGTTTCTCTACTTCAAATTCTTTTTCAAAAGAACTGTGCAGACATGAGTGCATGTGTTTGTTTTCTACATTTTGTTTGTTGGGCAGTCATGCACACATTGATTGGCCACAAAAATGGCTTTCACTGTCCCCTTGACAGTAAGTTGACATGAATTCAGACCAGCTCTAGTAGTCCTGTGACTGGAAAAGTGTGGGTGTGTCAAGCTCGGTCTGTGGTGCTGGGAGTGGGTGGATACACCTGTTTTACTTGTGGAACACTGGTACCAATGTGGTGACTGCTTCTCCGAGTATTTGTTTTTGTCTTCTTTGTGAAAGGTCACTGGCTGATTTGAGTTGCTGGGTCGAGCTCCACTTCCTGTGTATGCCACATTGGCTTTCTTTTTGTGTCATTCTGCCTCATATCTAAAGAATAGTTTGGCTGATCCAGTGATACTCTAGAGTCTTATCTTTATAAATTTTTATAGGAGAGAATGCCCTGCTCGTATCTGAGGGTCTGGAAGTGTTGTAGGAGTGAACTTACTAAAAAACAAGTGTGTGTGTGAGTGTGTGTGTGTGTGTGTGTGTGTTTGCTCACAGTACTGGGGATTAAACACAAGGTCTTATGCTCTACTATGGAGCTACATCCCCAGTCTTTCAAAGAGAATTTTTTGACTAAAAGAGGAAATTGTATCGATCAGTATGAAACAGAAACCACAGAACAGGGCCTAGGTTGTAAGCTTAACTATAAACATAAGTGCTACAGTTGACATATCAGTTGTCAGTTCCAGGTCATGAGAAAGATGGTCATCCTTTCTCCTTTTCTTGAGTGCCTTTTTATCTTTGCCTTTCCCCCTCATTTCTTATAATGAAGAGTAAAGAAGAATGATAGCAGATTGTCTTGGGCTGGTGTAGGGCAAGGAATCCATTTAATTAAAAAAAAGTTGGGTAAAACCTATTATCAACTGAAATTATAATGTTCATGAATTAATTAGATTGTGGGATTTAAACATAAAAATAAGGCTTGTAAAAGTGGTTACTGAAAAAGGGACAAAGATAACCAAGACCATGTAGGATGAAACTAAAAATCTTCACACACTGTATATGTAGATACATGAAAATAGTTTTTTAAAAAATTTTTTCTTTATTTGTGTGTGTGTGTGTGTGTGTGTGTGTGGCCCGCTCAGCCCACCAGGGGGCGGGCTGGCTGGCATGTGGTGCTGGGGGATTGAACCGTGGTCCCTGTGCTTTGCTAAGCTTGTTCTAAGTAGGTGCTTTAGACCACTGAGCCATCTCACCAGCCCCATGAAAATAGTTTTTGATAGATAAAAATAGGTAATAGAAAAACCAACAAGGGAGACTGGACGTTTAGCGGGCGCTGCATCAGAGAAGGGGGAGAACCTGCCTATTTCCAGAGCACCTCACCAGTAGATCTGTCTGCTTCCTACAACCTCTGAAGACAAATAATTACAGCACTATGGCAGAGATGTTGCACTCAGTGGTTCACAGGCCCCCAGGTGGGCTGCAGACTGTCACAAAACGTGTGGAATCTCTCGTGGGTACAGATTGGATTCATCACAAAGTTACAAAATCAAGAATTCCAGATAAAGTGTTTCAGCCTTCACCTGAAGATCATGAGAAGTATGGTGGGGATCCACCGCGCCCTCACAAGCTGCATGTTGTTGCCAGAATAAAAAGTACAATAAGACGACCATGTTGGGAAAAAGATGTAATCCAAATGCTTGGGTTAGAAAAAGCACACACTCCTCGAGTTCATAAGAACATCCTTCAGTAAATGCAAAACTGAGAGAGGTTAAGCATCTCATAAGAGTCCAGCCCCTGAAGCTGCCACAAGGACTTCCCACAGAAGAGAATATGGCTAGCACATGCCTCAAGAGTACCGGGGAGTTAGGAGTGCAGGGGCGTCTGAAGGCTGTGGACACCCTAAGCTCAGCACTCAGGGGGCTGAGGCAGGAGGATCCTTGCAAGTTCAAGGACAGACCTAGGCTATGTAGTTCAAGACCAGCTGAAGTACAAAGTAAGACTTTGACTGGAAGACAAACAAACAAACAAACAAACAAACACACAAAAATCCTGTGGAGCAGGAAACAAGTCCTGATGCCACAGAGCTTCATATTTCAAAAAATGTAAATTTTATTTAAAGTTGTTGGGTAGCTGGGCATGGTGTTGCAGGCCTGTAATCCAGCACTCAGGAGACTGAGGCGGGAGGATGGCTGTGAGTTTGTGACACCATGTCTCAAAAAAAGGTTAAAGATGGCAAAAAAATGTTTTCATAAAGAAAGAGAAAAAAACCAACAAGGAAAAAATTATACAAAATTTAAGTATATATAATTGTGAAGTATAATGTAGCAGTTTTTAAGTTGCAGCAAATAATAAAGTTAGTGTAGAGTATAGAGGCTTTCCTCCTGGCTGTTTTCTCTCATTTCTGAAGCCATGAAAATGTTTCCATGCTAAAGCCATCTCATTCTTTGAAAGTAATGAGGTATTTTATAATTTATTTTAGATTCATTACTGTGTATTTAGTTTGTTTTCTTTAGTTTATTTAAAAAGGTTTATAATTGCTTCTTCATTACAGTTAGAAGTCATGTGTCTATTTAACAGATACTTTGTTTTTTCTGTAATTCTCCAGGCTTCATGCATACCTTTGAGAATGATCATTTAAAATATGCCTAAAATGTCTCTGGGGAGGCATGATACAAGCTGATTTTGAAGTCTACCTGGCTTTCCCACACTCTTACATCAGTACAACAGTTTGGCTTTAACTCATTTTTTCTCCCCCTTCTCATTTATTGTTCTTGTTCAGCTATTTGTATACACGTCTGGCCTCTTCATCTTCTGAGGGCAGCGGTGGTGCCTTATTTGTCTATATTAGTCATGGCGTCTATTCCAGCACCTAGCCCAGAGGGTTTGCTCAAGAGAGATACGTTGCAGAAACAATTATTCATAAGCTAGAGGAGCTCATTTGGATTCGTATGCCTGAGTAACTCACTTTAGCTTTTTGGGTGGGATAAAGATGAAATACAAGTTTTAGGTATATACTACAGGATAGCCTGGAACGTAATGGCTGCACACCAGTGCAGAATCTTTGGTGGCTTCCCAGGGTTAATGTCTTTTTCTCACGTGCTTCCATGTTGAGTGACGCTTACCCTGCATGTCTCGGCAGGGCTCTGTTGGATTTGCATCATCTACATTGGCTTCTAGTTTCAACAAGAATTGTTTACATGCATTTAATTTTAGCTCTTGGGCTATAGCGTGTCATTGTTCTTTTTATTTATCTCCTCACTTTTGGAAACAGGACAGGCACCTTCAATTCTTGCTGTTCCTGTTTGGTGTACTCTTAGATTAATTTTAGCTTGCTCTTCAGCTTTCAGAACATGCAAGATATTTTCCAGCCGTGTTTCCTGTATAAGAAAAATATAGACTATGTTACCACAGAGGGAAGTGGAGAATGGGAGAGATTACTGAAATCATTCAGGGAGCTCCTATCCTGGTTTAGAAGGAAACTTGTCTTATTTTACCTCACTTGATTATTCTGTCCTCAATTTAAAGATAAAACTTCCCACTCTTACTCAATTTTATTTGTCATTGCCACAATGAACTTGAAAAAAATATATTTCTGGTTTACTTTTAAAAATCAGGGCTTAATAGAATTATATGTTTTCATATTTTGGGGGGAAATGAATGCCCTAGGAAAATAATATATTTTGGGCAAAGCAATGCTTCATAAGAGTAGACCATCGAAATTGAAAGTACTTCAGAGAGTCTTGCATAAAAGTCTTACAAAATTCTATTTCTTTACGGTACTTATGCAATCATATTTCTTATTGACATTCTATAAAATGTTTTATAAGATGCTCAAAGATATAAAAATAAACTTTTAGGAGGAGATGCATTTATGGTTGCCTTTATGCTACAATATATGTAAAACTATGGTGTTTTACAACAGTTTTTGTGTTGACTCTACAGACAGGAAATCCAACAAATTGAAGGAGTTTGCCACCTAGAGGAGATGTGTGAAATTCAACTTTTCTCCATATTTCTTCAGTAGAATTCTTTCCTTCATTTAATTTTTTGCACATGTCATTATGAAAAAGTAGAAAGCTTATTGTACCCGGGCAAATTTGATAAATCTATTCAAGATCTATGAACTTAAATAAGAAAATGTACATAATTTTATTTGGACGGTCTGTGCTTAAAATCTTTTAAAATACCATTTATGATGTTAATTTTTAGTACTGACTATTGAACCCAGAGACTTGCTGATAGTAGGCAAGTGCCTCAGCTGTATCTCTAGATCAAAAATCTTTAATTTCAAAGAGAGTGTGACCCTACCGTTTGGACAATTCTGGATAGTTATGTTTGGGAAGTATTTTTTAATTTTTGACAAGTTTGGTGCAGACCAATCCAATTTCTTCGCATTTGATATCAATCAGATGTGATTTCTTCTGCCAAGGTGGTCACAATATAGTAGATGAATGATGAAGGCTAGTAATTCTGATATATTTCAAATGTCAGAGATAACATCTAAAATAAAATCTTCATTTGGTAAAGAATATATATTTTCCAATTATTTGTATTTCAATTGTCTCTGAAGTTGAAAAACAATTATTTCCCTCCTTTTATATTATGAATAGTATCTGGCATAGTATATATGCACAATAGGTACTGAAGAAATAATAATTTTATTTTGGAGTGAAATTTGCTTTAGAAGAGTTTCAGACATATACCAAACTGAGAAAATTTCCAGTAAGGACACACAAGATTTTTTTCTTATTGATATTCTCAATGTGACTTAGAAATTTCTTTGCCAAACTTTTCTAGGACACAATAGTAGAAATATTTTAAATTTTATATTTAGTGGTACATAGTTGCAGCACAGAATGATTACATCTACCTTGCAGAGTTGGTACAAGTACATAATACAGTTTAATTCTTTTTTTCTTTCCCTTTCTCCGCTCCCCCCACTTTCCCTTGTTCCTTGGTCTCTTTTCGTTTTGAAAAAGTGGAAAGATTTTAAATATTTAAAATATTTTTAATATCTACATAGTTTATGAAGGCCAAGAAGCTTTTAAAGGGGAGCTAAACTTCACACACTATTGCCCAACAGAACTAGAATCACCGGTAACTCCCCAGAGGAGGCCTTGTCTTGTTAGCAGTGGAAGTGCTTTTGAGCTTTCTGTGTTCTCTGCTAGGGCCTCCTCAAATGCCTCCAGGAGCCCTCTTTTTCTGGGCCCAGTATGATTTTTCTTTTGCCTCACATTCATGTGATATTAAGGTTCAGCTCTGCAAATAAAATGCTCTATCATTGTTCTGGTTGTATTTTAATTTTGTGCCATCTGTTTAATTTGTATTTTAATATCTGTGAGGGTAGTGTTTGCCTTATACTCTTTTGAGTATAACCTTCCAGAAGGTAGAGATCAGCATTATTTTATTCATTTTTTTGAACTACAAGTCTTTATAATCAAAGTGGAATATTGGCCTATGGTATATATTTGAGAAATTTATAGTCTGTAAAAATCATTGGTTACAAAAAGAGAGGCAAGAAATTAGGTATAACACACTGTATGGTTTCTTTGAGTTTTTAACTTCTGTGTGAAATTTGTCAAACCTTCAGGCCCTCAAAATTTTCTCATTTCACTTGTGTATTGCGCTGTGTTCTTCCTACCTTAAATTGATATGTGGAAGCTCTGACCCCCAGTGCTTCCAACTATGGCTTTATTTGGAAAGTGAATCATTGCAGATGTCATTGGTTATGATGAAGTTTTCCTGAAGTCCTATCAATCCAATATGACTGGTGCCCTCATAAAAGGAGAATTTTGGTCAGACAGACATGTACATGGAGAAAGCTATCTGAAAGCTATATTTATCCTGCTGCAAGCCGAGAAACTAGCAGAATTGAGGAGAGAGGCCTGAAGGCCTCATCCTTGCCTGGGGCCTTGGGAGGGAGGTGGCCAAACTGTCTCCTTGATCTCAGGCTTCCAGTCTTTGGTATTGTGAGATAACAAATATCTCTTCCTGAGTCACTCCGCTTATGGTACTTTGTTATAACAGTCCCTGCTGGGCTGGGGAGATAGCTTGGTGGCAGGAGTGCCCACCTGGTAAGGACAAGGTCCTGAGTTTGATCCCTTGTAAAGAGTCCTTGCAAAGTAATACATCATTTTTACTGAAGAGCAAAGAAAATTCTATAGCCATATAATTATCTTTTTAAAATTTCTGTCAGCATCCTAACATATAAAGATTAGTCTTGTATATGCAAATTAGGAAATGGAGACTGAAAAAATCAAGTTCAAAGTATTATGGCTGTTTTATCTTAGAGTCAGTGTTTGAGCCCAAGTCCCCCCTACACCAAAGTGTCACCACCCATTCATTTCTAACCCAACCCAGGTGCTCACAAACAACCAGACTCCAACTGGAGCCATGGGTAGTACAAATGGTCATTGAGAAGGAGGTCATGACCAACATCAAACTATCAAGAAGGCAGGAAAAGCTTTAAGAAGCCAAGCAAATATATAGAACACACTAAAGATGGTGGGAAACTTTGTTATGTGTGGATTCCTTGTACCTTTAGGAAGGAACTCCAAACCATACCTGAGTTAGTTTAGGCAAGAAGAAACCAAAGGTTGCAGATAGAGTATATATTTGTGTGCCTCTTTTTTTTTTTTTTTTAATATTTAGTACAGGGTCTATGGGGTACAGGGTCTCCCCATATAGATTGGACTCTTAGTGATTTTTCCTGTTTTCAGCCTCCCAAGTGCTGGAAATACAGGCACTCAC